TCATCTGGCTCTAATGTAAGAATTTTCAAATCAGTTCCAGTTCTTGTTCTAGTGCTTGTGTCACTGTAGGAGGGTCCATTGGATTGGATGCTCTGTATAGCATAATTATATCAATAATTAACAAAACTGAAATAATGACAATGATAAGAAAACCACTTACAAAAAGGTTTTGTTCTTTTTTAATCCTTATACCAGCAATCTTTCAGGTAACCAAAAAATAGAAGTAAAAAATTTAAAATCAAAGAAATGAAGGAAATCCCCAAATAGGGCTTTGGCAGCTAGTATGCTCTGCACCTAGTATGCTCCAAGATCTCAGAGAAAATTCTCCCAAAATATCACCACACGTTTCATGATTGGCTAAAGCAGAGAAGCTGGTTTTCTCTCTAGAGCTGACAATTTTCTTTACTGTCAGGAACTGTCTCTTTAACTTTATAAAACAATGTGAAGACAATTTACAAATTGATCAATCTGGTCAGTGAAAAGGTTAAAACATACCTCAGACCAAGATGGTGAGCTCCACCTCTGACCAGAAGTACCACTAGTGTTGGTGAGACATCTTCTAACACCAAAAATATTATCAATATATTTTAAATCCAACAACAGCAGTTGGAAGCAACCACAGCCCTTCAAATACCATAAACTTACACCTCCAGTTCTCCATGGATCCAGGTCACCATTGGATAAGATAATATTAGAACATGAAGATATATCTGGAAAATAAATTAAAGAAACAAAAAACAGAACTGTATGGGTGCCCAGTTAGGTTGAGGTACCACACCCCTTTTTTTTCTTGCAGTATGTTGCAATCATTTCTGGAGTCCACGGCAGAGTTGGAAACATGTCTGTTTTGTTGTTAGAACCAGCTGGAAGAGAAAGCTCAGTACAAGCCTGAAAAGATAAAATATAAATCTTATTTTGATGTTTAATGACAGAAAGAAACAGCCAGAGAAGGTTACATGTCTTGCACAACACAGTCCAGTCAGTCAGAGTTTGAACTGGGACCTTTAGATCTGGAGTCCAGCACATATAAAATTAAGCCACCACATTTCCCAAATCTTGAATTTTTCTAGGGAGTAAGTGGTAGTTACAGTAATCTTTAACTAGGAACTGTTCCTACATCCTATGGAGACTATGGTTAGAGATATTATTATAGAGATATTAGTTACTTGACTGGGCAAGTAGGATATCCCACCCAATACCTGATGGTCTTGTGTGGGGCTGTCTAAACCCAGGCCACATCCAGTGGGGTCTGCACATTCAATGTACTCTGTATCTGGATCAAGACAAGTCAGTATACCATTAGTGCTGTTGTAGACTAAAGCTGTGACCTCAGCCAGACCTTCAACCTTGGATGATACACTTGCCATCATTATACATGCCAAGTTCACAAGATGCCCAGGAAGTGGGGCCAGGAAGTCTGTTGGGTAAGGATAATCACACATGGCTAAGGTTGTGAAAGAATTGTGGATCCAATGTAACATGTGAGAGACCTAAAATGAAAATAAAATAAAAACACCAAATGATCGGACCAATTGAAACAATGGATGGATGTGAGGATCAACAAAGGGCATAGGAAAGAAAACATAGAAATACAGTTGCAAAAGGAATTTAGTAACACTATAATAACAGGAATTCAGCAATGACAAATCCAGAAAACAGCCCTGCATCCTCTGTTTCTTGGAAGGGAGGGTAGGTGGAAGGGAGGAAGGGTGGAAGGGTGGGTGGATGGGAGGATGGAAGGGAGGAAGGAAGAATGGGAGGGTGGGTAGAAGGGAGGGAGGATGGGAGGGTGGGTGGAAGGGAAGAAGGGTGGGAGAGTGGGTGGAAGGGAGGGAGGGTGGGAGGGTAGGTGAAAGGGAGGAAGGGTGGGAGGGTGGGTGGCTGGAAGAGAGGGTGGGTGGGAGGACAAGGAAACAGGAATAATAATAATAAAGTGCTTGTATCCTCTGCTCAAGGCGCTTTACAATCATACAAAATCATACATTATTAATAAAAATTTACAAATGTACAACTATATCCTACTATATGATACTTAAACATAGCTAAAATTCATACTAATTAAAAAAGAAAAACAAAACTAAAGCCAGCCATATCTTATTATATGATACTTAAACATAGCTAAAATTCACAATGATTAAAAAAGAAAATTAAATCTAAAGCAATATATATAAATCTATAAAAATAATGGTCTGTTAATAATATATTTACTAAACAAGAAGATCTTAAAGTGCTCTTTTGAAAATTGAGATGGTGTTAGACTTTCGAATTTCATAGGATATTAAGTTCCATTCTCTTGGCGTATAAACAGTGAATGCTCTGTCTCTGTAGGTCTTAGTATACGATCTAGGTTGCATTAAAATTTCATTACTAACAGACCTAGATGATCTAGTAGGAGAATGATGATGTAGTTTCTGAGCGTAATAGCTAGGCGATGCCCATTCAGTGATTTATACACTAGAAGCAGAATCTTGAAAATAATATGGTATTGGATTGGTAGCCTGTGAAGCTCCTGCAAAACAGGTGTGATATGCTGAAACTTACTCATTTGACACACAACTCTAGCTGCCATGTTTTGTGCATATTGCAATCTTTGTAACTGATACTTAGGCAAGCCATGTAATAATGCATTACAATAGTCCAGTTTTGATGTGACAAATGCGTGAACAGCAACTGCTGCTGATTCTTTAGTGAGATACTTCCTAATTCTAGATGGGTTCCTGAGATGATAAAATGATGATCTACAGATGCTAGACACATGTGGATGAAAAGACATGTGCTCATCAAAGATGATGCCAAGACTCCTAGCCAACTGAGAGGCAGCCACGCTCTCATCACCAACACATAAGGACTGAAAGGATGGAGAGGGATGATACTTTGAGTGGATGGGCATAACCTCCATCTTGTCATGGTTTAGCTTCAATTTGTTGAGGTCCATCCAGCGACAAATAGCAGAAATGCAGTTCTCGATCCTCAATTTAGTAGCGTCCACATCCACCAATTTGAATGCAAAGTATAACTGAGTATCATCAGCGTATAGATGATAATCCAAGCCATAAGATCTTATCACTTTAGCAAGTGGCGCAGTATACAGAAGGTAGAGTACAGGTCCCAGAACTGAACCTTGGGGAACTCCCACGAGAAGATCACATATTGTAGAATTCACCTCATTGATGTTAACAAACTGAGTTCTATCAGAAAGATAGAAATTGAACCATTGCAGAACAGTTCCTCTGATGCCAAATGATTTCTGCAGTCCTGCCAGCCACAAAGTATGGTTGACAGTATTGAATGCTGCTGACAAATCTAATAAAACAAGGAAAACATCCTCACATTTGTCCAATAGTAGCATAGTGTCATTTGTGATGGTGATAAGCGCAGTCTCTGTGCTGTGAAAGATCTTGTATGCTGATTGGAGAGGCTCATGTAGATCATTTTTGCCAAGATAGTTATTCAATTGCACAAACACTGCTTTTTCTATCAATTTCTAGATAAAAACTTTAAATTTGACACAGGGCAAAAGTTACTAAACTGCTCAAAATCTGCATTTACCTTCTTGAGAAGAGGTAATAGCAGCACGATCTTAAGTTCCTTGGGCAGCACTCCAGATGATAATGACAAATTGATAGCTCTTCTAAATACAGGAACAAGACTAGAATAGCATTTCCACATGATACTCACTGGAAGTGGATCCAGTGCGCATGCCTTGATTGAAGCCCTAATCAATCCTAAGACATTTTCATTTGCTGCCATTGCAAACTCACTAAAGCATGATGTACACTCAAAATCCTCCATAGTGAGCTCCCCCAGCGGTTCTTTCCTAACCTGCAACTCATCACGAATTTGCACAATCTTGGCACTAAAGAAATCAGCAAAGGCATTCATGAGTTTTTGGTCACTATTTGCAGATGGATATCTTTTGTCTGTATTCCTTTGTAGTAATTTATCAACAGTGCGAAAAAGTAACTTGCTATCATGGGCATTGTCCTGAATAACAGTTGAATAATGCTGTTCTTTCACCTTATAAAGCATTGCATTTACAACATTGCACTGTTCCAAATAATTCACCCTATCAATTTCGAGACTAGTCAAATGCCATTTATGTTTGAGCCTTTGCCTCTTCTTCTTCTGGGTGGCGATCTCCTCATTATACCAAGGGGCATTTGGTCGAATGACAATAGTGCGAGTTTGTTTTGGTGCCAGCTTGTCCAAAGCCTTGCACAACACCTCATCATACTCCTTAGCCAATGACTCAATACATTGCGGGACACATCCATCCGACAAACCAGACGATATAATAATCTCATTGAAAGCATCAAAATAAAATCCCTTTAATTTACGAGAGACAACAGTCCTCCTCTTATTTACTGGTTTCCATAAGTTCAGTTGGATTAAAGCAAACAGCCTTGTGATCAGAGATAAACTATTCCGTGACTGTGACATTCTTTAGGCCTAAAGCACCCTCAGTCTCATTCCTTGTAATGACCAAGTCCAATATACTCCTACATCTAGAATACGATGGAAAGTGGCATTCGAGTTCCCATAATAAGCACACCGTCTTTTGTGTCACCTTAACTTGATCTTTAGCAAACCATGATGTGTGTTTGAGGAGCCCAGTGACACAATGAGGTGTCCAAGGAAACCATTGTTTGAATTCCAGGGCAACCAATATAATAGATCACAATCAGCATGCAAATGACCACCTAGACCTTCACTTTGGAAAACCAGTGAAACCCAGGTTGAATAATCTTCAAAATCCCTTACGTTCATCCATTTTACAAAACCAAAACCACTCCAGCAATAAGATACCCCATTTAGACATCCTCTAGACTGTTTTATCATACAAAACAGTTGTCCGTAAAAAGGAGGAAAATAACTCAAACATGGACCACATCACTACATGTCTGATACCAATAATTGCTGCTGTCCCTCTGCAGAGAGGGAGGAAGTAAGTGACAGGAAGAGAGATAGCAAGTGATCTGGTAAACAAGCTACAGTTAGTTATCATGGAGTCACTAAATGCTGCTCCACATAATATTTAACTGTGTTCACTTCACTGTCATGGTAGTGTATGAGTGATGGTGATTAGATAATTCTTACCTGATCTGTTGACTTCAGTGGTTTTCAGAGCTTAAATATCCTTGAGATTTCAGCAAGTCCTATATGAAATAACATAGTTAGAAAATAAAATAATGCAACTGAAATAAATGCATGTCAAAATAAAACTCCAGGTCAGTTTCACACACAGTGACTTAATGGCCACAATCATACAATTGTAACTCATAGCAAACTCAACTTAGCCACTCAGTTAAAAGATCCATGCATGTAATTGCCTTAAAGTAAGAGTTATTTATCACCTTGTTATGGTTAACTTTGTTAATAATCCATAATTAGGAGTACTTTGGTTTTGATTTTGACATTTTACTTGAACAGATTTCTTGATAGAGACAGATTTACCCACTTAATGAAATTATTAATATTTGTAATATAGGGAAGGTACAGTAATGCAAGTAATTGCCTAAAGCCATAGTGACACACCCTCATCCCTTATTAGGGGAGTTTCCTTGAGTTCCCCAGTCCTTTTGCTAATACTAACATTCCAAATTTCCAGCCTGAATACAGAAGAAGAATGATGTAAACTCCTTCATTTCCATGATTTGACTGGTGTCTTCAGATTTTCTTCCAAATTTAATGGAATTTGGTATTATGATACTTGACACTTGTAACCTTTTAAACCCTAATATCAGTTTGCATTTTCTCTATACTGTTATTTATATATTTTCTAAGGTACTGACAAACTTCATTTCAACTGACAAACTTTATTTCAACTGTCTTCTGACTTTTGTATTGACACTGTAAGGAGAAAATAATTACAATCTCCTTTTAGGGTTTCAGTGTTCAGCAACCCCATATATTTAATTTACCTTTTGATCCTATATTTTTCAGCATCTCAAATCATTTCAAAAGCTGTAATAACGTAACCTGGACAATTCGCATCAGCATTTAAAAAGTCCTTGGAATTAAAACACAAAATAATAAAGAAATTAATTAAATTAACTGAATAAACTGGAACATGAAAACAAAATAGTTTGGGAGTCACTGCTGATAGTTTTATCTTTCATGAATATCAATAGAAATTAACATAATGATATTGTTAAATATCACCAAATAAGTGTAAGTACTATCTGTCTAGAATTAACTCAAATAACAAATGATATCATCATTCTCCTCATTTAACCACTACAATTCTCAAGAAGGAGAAAAATTATCAGACTCTCGAATCTTTTACCAAATGAACATCTATTTTGATTGGTAAATTAATTAACTGTTTCCCTGATGTTAAGGAGAGAATCACTGATCAGTAAGCTGGACAGCGCTTAGTTCTTTCCTTACTTTCATCCAAAGCTGTTTTTTACTTCACAAGTCAATAATCACAACCATAAGAAGATAGGCAGTCATTTGCAGATTGAAATTGTTTCCTTGGGGTGTCCCCTCTCCCCCTCAGAGATAGACATGCAACTACATAGGATTTTCTGTGATCCTTTCCATGGCTTTCCTCCACCACCCAGCCCAAACCCCTTCCAAAAATAGAGCACAATCAGGCCACTCAGGGCCACAAACGTATTCAAATATTTAATCTGTGTCGCTGTAAGTTCTCATAGCTTCCCTTTTTCCCTACACAGTGATTGCTCTAAGCCTATCAACATGCCTTACTCAAATTTTCTTCAATTCAGCAAAATTACTCAACAGTTTAAGAGGAATTCAGTTAAAATACGGGTGAAAATGATTCCATTCTTTGGTAATTGTGAACAATGGTTCCCATTTTCGGCTGTCGGTAACCTGTCAGTCAACTGTCGGCCGACAGGTTACCGACACATTACCAACACATTACCGACAGTCAGCCGACAGTGTTAAGTAGACCAAAAATTGACTGAAAACAGAGTCAAACTTTTCCAGTCGAAAACAGTAAATAGAAACATGTCGATCGCATCGTTCGTACCTACCTACTTGATTCTGTTTAAACGGTAAAATAAGCTTGTTTGACCCATCTCCCGACCGTAAGTACCAAAATACCTATTTTTTTATATCCTTGTTTGTACACAAAACGGCTCCTTTTCTACATTTTGCAAGTGAATGAACCACCAGGCCAAATAAAGACTTTCTAAAAAGGTTTCGGAGGCAGTGTGTTTAGGGGACTGGGAACTAGAAAAACTTTTCAATACGGTGGATAAATGAAATCGCACCAATTTGGGAAAGTTTCGCTTGGGGGCAAGGGGCAGTAGCTATTGAGAGTACAGTGCAAGATATCTTTTTGAAATGACTTTTCCCCTTTTTATGTAGTTTTAGAAGCAATAGATAGGTAAATGTTTACGATCATTTCAGTTTACGACCCACCGACAGGTTACCGACAGATTGCCAACAGGTCGCTGATTGTCGGCCGACTGTTGGCTGACAGTCGGCCAAAACTTTGGCCTGAAACATAACGAAAACTGTCGGCCGACAATTGGCTAACAGTCGGCCGACTGTCGGCCAACTGTCGACCGACTGTTGACAGACGGCCAACAAACGGCCGACAGTATCTTTCCGGAACTGTTCTTCCCTCTTACCCAATTTTGAGCCACCCTAAATAAGTAAGAAACGAAATTTCAAATAAGTGCTCACGCCCTTATCTGAGGAACTATGGTGTTAAACAATTAAGAATTTTATTTTTAATTTGCAATCATATGTGAACTTAAAGTCTAATTTAGCAGTAATACAGTTATGAGAAATTAGATGCTATTCACTCTCAAGGTTTAACTTGTTATGAATCCTGAGCAATATGTTCCTTACAGGAAGACTCACTTCACCATTCAAGGAAATGAGAAAAAAAAAACAGACTCTAACAAAGTGCTTTGCGATTTCTTGAAAGGTTGGTCTCTCTTTGTAAACAGATAATAATTTAGGTCTAATGTATTTAATATAATTAATATATTATTAGCATTATGACATGCAAATCGAAAGAATAATGGATATCCCAGAATTTCTTTTAGTGTTGACAGTTTGGTTTACAGCTCTTAAAATTGTATGAGAGTATCTACTCTTTGTTGACCCTCAAGCAACAAATTTGTGAATTCAATCAAGTTTCACAGTGTGTGTTGTTTATTTACATTCATTTGTTAATTTTGAAGTACTATTTTTTCATAGCATTAATGTTCTGATGTTTTGAAAGACTTTCTATGTTATTATAAATCATTGAACACATGAGTTGATTTATTTAAACTGCAGATATACCAATTCTTGGTTGGCCAGTTTATGAGCTAGTTGCAAAATATTTGCAAAGACTGATGTCCTAAAAAAGATTTATGCCTTAGACCAGAAGAAAATGGTTTTTTAAGGATTATAATTGGGGAAAAAAGGTGAAAAGTGTGTCAGAACTTGGAGATCTAGTGACCAAATTGTACATTGCAAGCCAGATAATTTCAAGTTTATCTCAATCTCTAAAACTTTGTGAAGTGAGATACTGTTAGTCATGTAAATGGTTACTTTACCTGAGGGAATTTTACAGACAGAGTTTAATAATAAACTTCAAAATTATTTTCAGGAGCACCAGATGTGGGAAGGAATGAGTGAAAGAAGATGCTACTGTCAAGCAGTCCTGATAGATTCATAACAACAGTTCCTCGTAAGATTACAAATTGAAATTGAATTCACTTTTATTATTAATTATATGTTAGTATGGCCCCAGTTGTTCCAAGGTTGGATAACACTATCCACTGGATAAATCGTTATCTGACGGATAGTACAGTATGTTTTGCCATCACTTATCTGCTGTATAGCCATCTATCTGTTGGGGTAGTATTAACCACCCTTTGTACAACTGGGCCTATTTAGCAAAATTTGGTTTCACTAGAGCAACCTATAGGGAACTTCACTGTCCATGTTGGCCCCAACCTTTTTTTACAAAAGCTCAATGCTCCAAAAAAGTAACAACAGCATATGCTTTAATCAGTACGAACACTCATAGAGAAAAAGTAAAGGGTAGCCGACATGTTGCCATACCCGTCCCCATTTCACCTAGGTGGGGGAGGGGGGGGGGTATGGCTACACAAAGGCTAGGTAAAGGGGAACATTAAAATCAAACCATACAGTCAGGAAAATTGTAGTGTATGATTGTTTGCTTTTTTCGTTATGATCATTATTTATCTTCAGTTGGTAGTTTATCAGTAAGCCACCTCTTCATGAATGAACCCTTTACGCCCTACAATCAGTAAAGGTATTCTCCATACTGTTCTCTATACATTCCCCTAAGGTGCTGACGAGGAGAATTTGTGTAACAATCAACAACTTCTTTAGCTGCTGATAATTTTCTTTATTCTCATGACCTTACTGTGGGATTCAGGGGTGATATTGTAAGGAGAAATTAGATGCTAGTCACTCTTATGGATTAAAGGGTTAAACCCATTTTTCCTGGCTCACTTTCAAACATATTGAATATAGCCCATTTGATTGGCTCACATTTTATGAAGTATTTTGATATCAGTTTGGTAATTAATCATCATCTTCTAATTACTGCACAAGGAAAGGACCTTTTTAAAATTTTACATTCACTAGGCAGCATAATTTTATTTTTTGTGTCTTCCTACTAACAAGCACCCACATGCTGATCAGTCTGGTACTTTTCTATTGAATGAATAACTTTAAACAAAATTTATTCTCCAGATACATCCAGACATATGAAGAGTTATGAAACAGATGGCAAGGATTATTTTTTGTATCAAGACAAACTATGGAGAATTTTATCCAGAAGAGGAAATTCATAGAATTTGGAGAATACAAAGGTTGTCTGTATGGTACCTCAAAGGACTCTATAACCAGAGCTCTGAAATCCAGGAAGACCTGTGTCCTTAAGGTACAACCTGAGGTGAGTCGCAATTAAAGTTGCTCTCAACCTTGAGCAGCACCTTTGCTTTCAACTGACTGGTGTAAATCCTCAACTTGAAGGTGGGTCTGGGTCCCGTTTGTGGGAATTTTTATTCTAGATTGACCATACAATTATTTAATTTAATACAAAAGTGAAATTAACGTCGAAAGTTGAAGTTACTGGAGTATGGCCTCAAATTAAATCACCAAATCTGGCTTGTAGGTGATGTTGCTATTATGAACAATGGAGTTCAAGCCATACTGTGTCTTTGTGAAGCCTCCTTCTCTGAAGGAACCCCGCACATCAAGACTGAAAGTACAGACCAAAAAAAAAGAAGGCTTCAGATAAGTCCTCCATCAGGACATTCAGCGTAAGTCTTATTGACAAACAGGCAGACTAGAAATAGTCCCTCTTTCTTATTGTAATGTGAAGTATAGTAAAGCAAGGGAAAGTCTGTACTGGAGCCAACAGTCCAACCAACCTTGGCTTATCTCTGTTTCTATAGCATGACAAGACTGGAAATATTCCCAATCCCATTGGATGAGATGCTACCTCCTATAGCTACATATTACCCCTTGTTATTGCATGGACTAGTCCTGTAGTGGATGTCACACCCATTTGTAACTCTACCTGAAGTAACAGTAGAATTGGACTGGCTTCCCACCAGGGGGGAACTAACAATTTCCACTTCATGCTATGTAAACTGGGATAACCCCCAGTCTGGCTTGAAAGTTGACATTAGCTTGAGTTCATAGGTAATTGTTTTGAGTATGGTGCTCCCCCCCTCCCTTATCTCTCATTCTGGCCCTAAATATTATGATTTATAATTAGTCCAAAACTATGCTTGTCATATGAACATAGCAATAGCTGCCTAGCTCACTGTAGAGTCAGTAAATGTAAAGAATCCTATCCTACCAACGTGTCGGCCAACACATCAGCCGTCACACTACCAACACACCTCTGATACACTAGAGTCTCTGTGGCTCAGTAATAGAACATTTGAGTGCAGAATGCAAAGGTCTGGAGTTCATTTCTTCATGGGGACTTTTTTTTTCTTTTCCTTTTTTGCTGTTTTCTTTTTTTCTTTTTGACACTTAGGGAAAATAAATCCTTCCACCTTTATCATATTCAGTAAAATTGAAAAATATCAGAATGGAAAAATTAAACCAATCAGGTTGCAAATTAAGATCATTATGTAAATCTAAACCTGTGAATTGTCCTTTGTAAATAAGTGATTCCAGCCTGGATAACCTTTTCATTGATATGCAGGAGGAGGAGTTACAAGAAATAATCAGTACTTCTAGAATGCTGGAGGAGACCTATGGAAGATTCTTTTACCTGACAGTAGAAAACAAGGACATTGAAGAAGCCTCTGTCAGCATTGTAGACACATTTGAAAATCTTGAACAGGAAGAGCAGTGGGTCCCTCTGGACTGGACTCAACAAAACTAAAAGGAGATCTGATATCTTATGTATAAAGTGTGAGGCTGGTTGTATCATGATGGCTTCACCAGTATCCACCACACAGTTGACCATCAAAGAACATTTCTAGACAAACTCAATAGAACTTATAAACTATTAGTACAAAATGTGTGATCCATCCATTTTTATTTTTTCAAAATGTAGCTGTTAACCTTTTAACTCCCAAAATCTGATCATTCATTCTCCCCTCTACACATTTACTTACATAAGTCACAAGTCATAAGAATTAGTGTAAGATCAAGATAGGAACTTCTGTGTGAAGAGTTTGTGCATTCTCGTTAGCTTAGTGAGTTTGTTTTAATTTTGATGAGTTACTGGATAATAAGTTACACAATTAATTTCAGATATAGGAGTCAAAGGGTTAAAGGATTAAATCATGCTGTCGCAAGCCTTGTTTTATTTGCTAGATAGAACACATTATTGGAAAAAAATGTTTTTTATCTTGTCACGAGATTGGGACATAGGCACTCATGACAAGACAAAAAACATCTTTTTTCATTTCTTTATGAAGCTTCAAACTTACCATCTTTCTTATATTATTATAACACATTTCCCATATTATTTTTATAATAAGTTTCAAGTTCATAAAAACATGAGTAGTCAGGGTACATGTATTGATAAATTATAAAAGATGATAATTAGAAAAAGGTTAACAAATGCCAGGCAGTTGGTCAGTGGAGCTAAAAGAATTAATTAGGAATGTCAAGAGGACGGCGAGGCTGGAGAGCCTGAAATTATTACCACCTATAAATTGAATCTTGGACTCCACAAAATGTCCATTTAAATTTTGCTTTTCAAAACATGCTTACCACATATTGAGTCAACCATGTGAAACAAAGTACATGTAAAGCGTTGAAGTGAGCTTTTTAAATGCCATACCAGAAGCTGGTACTGTACAATAAACCATGAGCAGCCCTTCCTTTTCCCCAGAGTATGTTGCCAGTGTAAAAGAAAAAAGTTAAAAAACCAAGTTGCAATTCTTGCCTGTTAAATTTTCTCACTTTTTTTATTTAATTCCAATTGTTTCCCCTCCCCTTGAAGTAATGTAATGCTGAGCTTGACTTCATCTGTAGCTGTGTTAATGATTTTTTTTCTTCAGCAGAATGTCATTTTGCAGTGAAGGGTCAGGGGTAATTCATAGGGTAAATTTTATACTTTATTGCCATTTTCATTTTGAATCAAGAGTCTACAAGTTATGGAAAAAAATTTAAAACCCTCAACACCCCAACATCAGTATGTATATTCTCTATACTGTTCTCTACACATTTCCTAAAGAGCTGACAGGGAGGATTTGTTTAACAATCGAGAACTGCTTTGGTTAGTGATCATTTCCTTTATTTGGGGGAATAATGTACGGAGAAATTAGATGCTAATCACTTTTAAGTGTCAGTTAAAGGGGTTGATATGTTATTAAATGGACTGTTTCATTGTGTACCAGAATCAAGTTTGAGTCTCAGTTGTAATTAAAAGATTTGAGTAAACTTCATCTAGGTTTAGGATATGATTTAATTGTTCATATATTCACGTACATCATACATTCAACTTACAATAAATACATGGCAAATAAAAGTATTGATTCCTTAGCTCACACATAAACCAGTTAAATTGTTTTCAATTAATACTTTAACTCCAAGACCTGATTGTTAATTCATTTCTCTAGCTGCTTAACATTTCTTAGTGAACTAGTTACAAAAATTTTGTGTTAGATCAGGACAACAGCTTCTTGATAAGGTTAGGTGTTCTCATTACCTGTTTGCTGGATAATGTGGAGATATTATTGGGAGAAGTGACATGTTAATCACTTCTAGCAGTAAAAGGGTTAAAAAATCTCTTTTTTAATAGTATTGCATGGTGTTCATAATTTCAATTTCATTTAAAAAAATTACATTATTTTTTAATTAATAACTATGACCTGATGAATTATTATATCTACAGAAACAGACAATTCATCTTCCATTATCATGTGTCCTCAAATAAGATTTAAACTTTTGCTTAGAGGAGGTGCTCATTGGACGGAGGGTACTTAATTGAGGGAGGTACTTAGTGAAGGGGGGGGGGGGTGGTTTCACACTTGTTTGAAATAATGGCCTGAGGGGTGGGCCCTAATTTGGGTGGGGGGCTGAGTGCACTTAATATTCAAGGAAATACAGTATCTGCACAACTGCAACCTTAAGGTGTGAAACAGTTAATAATTGTTAAGGTGATGATAATTATGATGATTATTATAACAGGAATATTTCATTCTTATTATAACTTCACTATATAATAATATTAAAAATACTAATATAGCATTTTTCCTAAAAATCTTAAAATTTTGGCCCAAAAGAGGCAAAAGGTCAAAACATTGTGGAAGTAAACACTGATATTTGTTACCATATAAGTGAGTAACTCAAAATTCTCAACTCAAAATTTACAATCTCATCAATTAAAGCTTAATATTTAATTTCATTGACTCCAATAATAAACATTAACAAATTAATTAGACTCTTGAGTCTCTTGAATGTGAGCTTAGTTAGCAATAACAAGAGCATTTCTCAGGTCAGTTAACCCTTTAACTCCCATGAGTGACCAAGAAAGAACTTCTCCTTACAGCATCATTACAAAATCAACCAGATAAGTGATGAGAACAGAGAAAAATATCTATTTGGGGGTAATTAGTTGATCCAATACTAAATTCTTTGAACCAACACTGTAGGAATTGTATGGTTGAGAGTAAGGAGAATTATTAATTTGATTTGGGAATTTAAGAGTTAAAAGAAGAAAATCTCCTGAACCAGTTGAATTAAAAATTATTAAGAAGATTTTTTCTTGAATAAAAAATCATTCTGCAGGATTTCTCTTAATCTTAGGTATGCCCAAATCAGTCAACTGCCACATCTTTTGTTTCCTTGTAACACTGCTATCTGTCATTTTTTAATCCTCAACAACTGACTTTCGAAAGTAAAGCCATGTTCTGTGTTGAGTTCTAACATTTGAGTGGGTGAGCACTCAGGAGAGCGTTGTGGCTGACTTCTCTCCATATCATGTCATGCAAGTTCAGAGGTCAAACAGCCAAACTTTATTGGCCTTCTTTGAAACGGTCATCACATTTCTGGTGGACATGGTTTTCTGAGTTTGACAGTAACTTATAAATGTGCCTTTATCTGGTGAACTGATACATTTACACTGTCCTCCCCTATCTTAAGTATGACAAGTAAAATCAATTTTCAAATCTGCAGAGCAATCATTTTACCAGCTTAATTTAAAAGAATTCCAAAAGATGTTAGGCTGTAATAAGAGGTACTACAGGTGGTAAATTTCATGTGTTACCACATGAAAAGGAGAACACTAGATTTACTTCATTGCCATCTCTGTAAACATAGTTCCCTTAACAACCACTTGAAGAACCATCTACACTGCCGCACCAAAGCTGTGCTGTTATAGGATCTTCTTGGCTAATCTAAGCTTCCAACTTGACTCCAACCAATACAATAACACAGTCAAAACTTTCCAACATCAACTGTATTGTTGGAAGATCCATTTGCTGATGGCAAATCTCCAGTGTAATACTTGCTTAGGGCCAGATCTCCAATAAATGGCATGCTAGAAGTGAGTAGTTTGCTTGTTTCCAAGTCCAAACTAAAATCAGTGCTAAATTCAAAATCAGTGGAGTCCAGACCACGAATTTTGTGTCCATCAATTGAGTTTGCATCAGGAGTTTGCTCATACTTGTTGACAGCCAAACGATGCCGCAACACCCTTAATTCATTCACAAGGATCATCTGCTGGAATTGCAATGAGGAGTTCTCTCCCATTCCTGTGCTCACGTGAACTGTGGGGAGCCATCTTAGGTAACGCCCCGACCAGAATTTTATACCTGGAGCAAGGGTGTTCACTCTTAAGTAAACAGACTCCTCATTCACTCCATTTTCATCTTCATCCAAATAATTTCTGTACTCAAACAGTGGATTAAGATAAGGCCCTGAGTTTCTTGATTCAGCAAGCTGCTCTGCAACAAACTCCCACAAGGATGCCATGGAGTTTCCTTTTAATTCCACTTGACACATCTCTGATCTTTGCTTCTCAGAGTCAAACAAGAATGTGTCAAACATGCATGCATGTACAGTGTCAAGAAGAGCATGAAGATATGTCTCAGAGAATTCAAATGCAGATGGAAACTGCTGAGTGAGTTGATACACACAATCAATAAAATGAAGGAACACTGGTGACTCTCCGGACTCTTCCTTGTCAATTTCCTGGGTAGGCTGAATGGTGTGATTACAGCGCAAGAGAAACTGATGTCCTCCAAGCACCCACATTTTCTGGATAAGAGTCTGGAACCCTCTTATTGTTCTGTAATATGGATCCAAAATGAGCTGAGCAAGACTTGCTACAACCACAGCAAAATCACGACCCCCAGTTTCCTTGATAATAACTGGTGACCGGTCATTACAGATTGACCGCACAACATTCATAGCAGCAACAAGGGACAACCGAACATAATTCAGCCATCTTAAAAATAATGTGAAAAGACCTTTGCGTTAGAATTTACTCTTCAAATGACAATAAATTCTCTCATTGCAACTAACAGTAAAGCTCCTTACATGCTAATTTACCTCTTCCATAAATGGCATGTCTATTTTAGATTGTTTTGTATTAAACTTTCTGGCTTTGACAACCTGGTTAAAAACAATAGAATTTTTCCCAAAAGCTATGACAAGAGTGCCTTTTGGCATGGACATAAAAGATTGATAATCATGCTTGCCATTATGAAAGAGGTCTTTGCTATGTCAGCTCACTGCTTGCTACCTTAGGCATTAACCATACATTATGTAAAAGCTGATATCTTGATTGCCAGCTGCTTGTTGCAGCAGTCTTCTACCCTACAAGAAATTAAAGTGCTCCACTTGTCTGCCAAAGCAGCACAATTTTGGACTGTTCAATGCTTAACTCCCAAAGTGATTAACATGTAACTTCCCCCAACAGGTAATGAGAATACCCAAAGTTATCAGGTAGGAGTTATCTTGATCTCACACTAAGTTATCACGGCTGATTTTCAAGGAAATGTGTAGCACTGCAGGGGAAGAATTAACAATCAGATCTTAGAGGTTAAAGGGTTGATTTTATGAGTCAGCACCTTGATGTTTCCAGACTTGAAAGCCAATGAGGATCAATGCTCCAAAACTCCTTGCTTGTCTCCAACACACACAGCTCTCTGACCTTGAGGAAGCTCTGTTGTAGGTCTTTTGTGGTTGCACATATCTTTGTTGTATCAATCACCTTGACCTCTTTGTGTTCAGTGTTGCTTGGAATTGATGATAATGCTTGGAAGAAGGATGTTTCTTCCTTCTCAAGAAATATACTATCTGGTCTGAAAAAGAAAAATGAATTTTTATTGTTTATTTACAAAAATTTGAAGGAGGTGACTGACAATAAAAATGCTGATGAGGTTTGCAAAGTACCTAGTAAGTAAATGGATCATCATGGCTATTGTTTGAAATGAATAATTCCCCTCTGCCCCTAGGACAAACATGAAATGTTTAACCCCTCACATCTCAACATCAGAATGCATATTCTCCATTCTGTTCTCTATACATTTTCTAAGGTGCTGATTAGGGGAATTTGTTTTACAATCAAGACCTTCCTTAGTTGGTGATCATTTACTTAAATCTCATGACCTTGATGTGTGATTCAAAGGTGATATTGTAAGTCACTGTTGAGGATCAGTGGGTTAAAAAAGTCATTATAAGTGGATTCTATGGTATAAGCATACCTTCCTGCACCACTGTAAAGCATTGGTACTCCTGTGCGAGGGTGACTCCAGCACCAAATTGGAAGACGAGAATTAACATAATGAAGTGACATCCTGTTGATGTCCAAATCTGACAAGGATGCAAGTACAACAAACATCTCTGACAATGATGGACATGTCTGGAATTTATTGTTGACAGTTGCTACTCGCCATGTGTCATCAACCTGGAGCCTGCTCAACTCATTCAGCCAATCAGGAAGAGATCGAAAAGTTGGAATGGTGTTCAGCCTGGCTTTGCCATTTTCCAAAGAGTTTTGTGCTCTACTGTAGGGGAACGCAAACAACAGAACAATGGAGCTTGGTGTCTTGTAATGGGAAATTGCATTCACCATGGTTTGATGATCTTTTTTGGGAGTAAATTTTAAGCCAAATCTTACCACTCTAAAGTCCTTGCAACGGATTTCCAAGGAATGAACTTTAGTAGACATGCGTGATCCAGGAACCACTTTCTTAATTTTTGATCCTTCTGCAGTGGAACTTGAATAATAAGAAATCTCATCTATACAAGTTTGTGGAATGTGCATTTCTCTTTGCATATCTGAGTACATTTCTCCAGCTTCAGTTAAATCAGGATTTGACTGAAACACAGAGTTAAGTTTCGTTTCTGCACTTGGGTTTCTTGTCAAGAAGGACATACGGAAGTTGGTTGCATACAGCACTCCAGATATCCCAGACTTTCGATCTGCCATTGTTTGAAATCGGAGCACATTGATAGCCTTAGCAACAACAATTTCTCCAGGTAAAAGTGATGGCTGAGGATATCCATCATCCATCATGGGAGAATCACTCCTTAGGGCTGCCATATTCTCACAAACAATATTTCCTAAAAAAAAAAAAGCATATATCAAATCTAAGCAAATACAGAATATGCCATAATTACTTTAAGCATATTGGCTATAAACTTGATGGAGTTAAAGTTGAATAAAAGTGTACAAATGTGAAGTGGGAAAGTGTGTTTGATCAGAGCATATCCATTTCCATCACTTTCCATCTACATGTGTACCATAAGACTCAATCACTCATGATCCAGTGAAAACTAGATTGATGGAGTCGCAAGCAGAAACAGAGTTAACAACCAACTACAATGCTAGTTCTCAGGCCTCAGGGGGGCTTGTACCTTGCTGAATTCATTTAATATTGACTGAAAAACTGCCACTTTGACATGAGGGAAGGCTGGCCTTTACCAAGATTGCAGAAAGAGGAAAAATCAAGGAGATTCAAGCCTCAGACCTTTCACTTTCATATACTTTCCCATGTAACAAAAAACCAACAAAAAATTTGGCAAACTAAGACCTTCACCAAGTTCATATGTGACAAGCATCCAGCATACTGCCAGGATCAACAATTTTAAAAGCAACTTCTCCCTCTTCATGAAAGACTCAGAGTTTATCTCAGTCTCATGCCAGATGGTGAAGCAAACATATTTTTTCAGTCAATGTCCAAGTTCACTATGTTACATCCTCCATACAATTTTTCACGAGCAGGAAGTTATTTATTGAAAAATCTGACATTACATGTATATCTTTGTGATCTTTTCTGATCATGCATTATATATAATATGAGAATGCCTTTTTTCACTTTCTGATTCAATAACTTATCGTTTTTTTAATTTTAAATTTTAATTTTAAATTTTAAAAGTAACTTCCCCCCCTTCACGAAAGACTTGGAGTTTATCTCAGTCTCATGCTAGATGCTGAAGCAAACATATTTTTTCAGTCAATTTCCTAGTTCACTATGTTACATCCTCCATACAATTTTTCACAAGCAGGAAGTTATTAATTGAAAAATCTGACATTACTTTTATATCTTTGTGATCTTTTCTGATTATGCATTATATATAATATGAGAATGCCTTTTTTCACTTTCTGATTCAATAACTTCTCGTCAATATAAGAAACACGACCATTAATTATCGTACTTGATTTCACGCAGCAATATCCTGAGCAAATACAGCTGTTAACTTACTCAGCTGACATGACAATCAGTTAACTCATTTCTCAATGTCAACGGTTTAGGAAATTGTAATAAAAAACAGACTGATTTATATTTCATGACTACTCCCTTAAAAATGGCTGACGAGAAGTTACCAAGCATTCACGATTATTCGCCGTACATTTAGTTGACTCTCACGTGCATGAAATGGAATCGATGATCTTGTGTTACACACACGTACCTCCTAAAGTAACGATTTTCGATATCTGTCGAGTAATTCAAAAACCAAGATTATACGAGACTTTAACAGTTACACTCAGTGGGTATTTTACTTAATCTAGAAAAATAAGGACAATTCTTCCGCATCATAATGGGTGACGAATGGGCTAGAATTATCACGAGTAAAGTTACATGTACGTACAATATTACCCCTGGCTGTAGTATAAACGAACGACCGCTACGGTTCTCTTAGCAGTATGGCAACCACATGATAAACATTCGGCGAATTTCTAAGTCCAGAAACAATCCAACAATGATTTACTGTAAGGAGCTTACAAGTAGCTTTTCAAAACAGGAAACACACTGATTTAAAAACTATACTCTGATGACACATACTTACATCAGGCTCATTTAGAACATTTAGAAGATTTTGCTAATTTAGAAGATCATTTAGAACTTCGATTTCTCTAATTCCAGCGCTGAATGACCGGATTCCACAGCACGCCCGAGCAAATCTTCTCTTACGTAGCTCGCTAAGAGTCGAAGCCTTAAGGAAAGCTACGTCGATTCTTGTAGAATATTGCTGCTCTGTTCGATGGTATTTTGGGCGAGACCTATTATCATAAACAAGCGATAATAGTAGGAGATTCCTTTACCAGCGGAATGCATTTTTGAAGCGAAAGGTACAACCCATCCGAGGAGGAACTGGGAATGAATTGTATCTCAGCGGGGCAGGTAGAATTTCTTGTACAACAGATCTGGGAAAAATTTACAACAGTAGCATTTCAAACACAAATGACTCGTCTGCACTCGATACGATGTTTTATTACCTGTGAAAATTGAATTTCTAAAAGAGTATTTAATAAATACTTCTGTATTCCGTCGATTGTCTAATCCGCCACCCTTGGAGTACTTTGTTTTGTTTGAGAGCTCACGTGACCAATTTGTGTTAGTTTGATTGGCATGTTCTCGAATCTATTCAGAACGCGTTCCCTAACCTATTGGACATCTTTCCCAGCCTCTGGAGCGTATTTTGCAGAACTAATTCTTCTCGAAATTATAGCGAAATGGTGGAACCAACCGAGTCAGAACAGGAGCAGAGCTCTGAAGGTACTACAATTACAGCTAAAGCTTGAAATTATATGATATTGTCAGCCATGTGTGACGTATTAAGATTTCAAATTGTGAATTGAGATTGTTCGTTTCTTGGGTGGACTCCCAAAATTTTGCGTTCCACGTTCAAAAATCAAAGTAATTTATTAAATCTATTTGACCAGATAGCTGATGTTGTAGAGATCGTTTCAATATGCGCGATTGAGGAAAACTTTCCAGGTTATTTATCGGTTGTAATTTCAGAGGTGTGTTTCGAACCAGTAAGCGTGTAGCTTTCATTGCTAAATTGTTTACTTCAACTTGATGAGGATATTTCCAATTCCCGCCGTTTAAAATGTGTGCTTTGTCGATACACGAATTGGGGGTTTTGCAAATTTGATCAATGTTAGATCGACATCGTTTATTAATTGTAGTTCAACTGTTAATTTCCAACTATAAAACCTAAAATGCTGTTAATTGCTTTAAGCTATCAAATAATAATTTCAAAGCAATGTCGTCGGATTTACTGTCTCGATGGACGAAATTTCTTATAAGGGATATGATACGGCTTATGTTTAAGTTTACGGAAGTTTTTTTTCCCACTTTTAAATTGCTTGTGGTTATCCTCAGAAGGCAGTATTTACAAAGGATGGTCAGTCGGTTTTGGTCTTAATAAAAACAGAAAATAGTTATTCATCAATAAATATAATTACTATCAAATGTCTAGATTAAATTTATTTTGGTCAAGGAGCTTCATATTTTAAAGCCTTAGCGGTTTCTTTGCTTGATTCGAATTTAAGTTACTTTTTCATGGCAAAATTCTTAACACACGAGTTTAACATTGCACCTCAATTTGAGATATATGTATAATATATCATTATTTGTGGTTGTGAACTGTACCTTGCAATTTTAAACTGCAGATAACAATATAACAAATCACTTTTTATTGAGTTATCTCAGACAATTCTGAAAAGTCAGTAATTCAATGAGAAAGGGCATGTTTATGTTTTGTATTCACAAATGTTGGATTAAATTTCACCAGACTTTATGATTTTAAACCATGTGACAAGATCATGATTATAGCTTTGTGCCAAAGTCAGATTGAAAAGTGGTGTTCAGAGAACATTCCTCAAGTTGCAACATCCTTTAAATGAACCCTTAAAATTTTATAAGTGACAAAGACAGAATTTCTCCGTACAATATCAAACAGACAAGCAAGGGGAATAAATGCAAATATAAATTATGGGATTTTAGTTGATCAATCCAATAGCAAATTATCTGAACTAACATCACGAGAATTGTAAGCCAGACAGTAAGGAGAGTTATTCATGAGATCCTGGGAGTGAAAGGGTGAAAGTATCTCCACATGCCTGCATTTCAAACTCAATTTACTTGAATGTGGTGATAGTGATGGACAGAAAAGTGAAAAAGATCTGATTGTTGTGTATCAACAAAATGCACTTTGATAATGTTTACCCAGTGATGGCTTGTATGAGATTCCAATATCTGACTGGTACATTTAATTCTCATTTTTTAGAGCTTTGTATTTCAGTTTCTATTATCTTGCAAAAAAAAAAAATCACTATTAATAATAGATACTGAGACCCAACAGTGTCAGTAGAATAATTATGTAAATGTTTAGAGATATAGTCCATTTGGATGGGTCTAGTTTACTCAATTTAAGTGCCAACCAGCTGGTATTCAACTCTCTTTACCTTTAACTCCCACATCAAAATTGTAATTCTTCTTACTGTCAATCATACAATTGTTATAATGTTAGTTCAGAGAATTTAGCATTGGATCAACTAATTATCCCCCGGCAAATTGATATTTTTACATGTACTTGCATGTATTTTGCACTACATGCATTCATGTATAGTGACAGGCAGTGTGTATGTTTGCATTTTTAGTGCTTAGGGATTGCAAGCTTGTTACTGATAAGAATATGTAATGCTTTAATACACATGAGCGATGTTGTGTAAAGATGTAGCTTGGGGCAGTTGTTATTTTTGGTGAAATGAAAAGGCATTGTGGCCCAAAATTTTAAGATCATCCTTCTTTGTAATATTACTGTGATTTCCGAAAAAAGGAATGTTGTTTTCACAATTAATTGTGAATTTGATTTTCAGAGCTCAACACTGACCTTATTTTACCCTAAGATTTCAAAACAAATGTCATTTTTATTTAATTAACAATCCTAGATGCTTAAGGATAAACTTTTTTCAAAGTAGCCACTTGGCAGTGTCTTAAACTTTAAAGGTTTAAGGATGAAATGGTAGCTCGAAATAAAGGTTTATTACCAGTCAGAATAGGAAATGAAATGTGAGTAACTGTCTTGGAGGTTCTTGTGGAGGCCAGACACATTTCTGTAAAGAAAACAACAAAACACAAATGATAACATTATGCAAATGTTCAAATAATCTTAGTTCTAATTTTGACCATGAAAACTATGTGATAAAACATCTGTCCTTTCTGTTTCATCAATGATACTTTTAGGGAACAACTAACATTGTCCTAGAGAGGCATTACTGTTCCTTTTCCTCTACAGCATTGTAAAAACTTTCAAAAGTTTTTGACAATAAATCATGATTTTTATTTGACTCTTCAGGCAGACTGAATTTGAATTTGCAATTGAATTTGGTGGGGAAAATATTTTGACCTCTGTCAACTGGAGTGCATTTTAAGTCATAGCCTCAGAAATTGCAAAAGTGCCAAGAATTTTGGTTTTTCAAATAAAGTATGGGTTTATTTTTCTGTTTTCAATTTTATTCTTTGATGTATTTTCCCTTTCCAAAGACATAGACGTGTGTCAAAGTAGACAGGCTTCAGACTCTTTTGGCCAATTTTTTACACAAAGTCTTGCTCAAACCACAGTTTTGTACAATCAGTGAGCATCAGTCTTTATCTATAAGAGGGTTGATTTAATTAGATAGGTGTCCTTTGACTGTTAGCTTTTGGCCCGTTTGACACTGTCCTCATATTATGAATAAATGTTCAGACAAAAGGTTAATAACCCTTTAACTCCCAAGATCTCATTGCTAATTCTCCTTACTGTCTATAAAACAGTTCTTGTGATGTTAGTTTGGAGAATTTGGTATTCAATCAACTAATAATCCCCTTATTGATAATTCTTTTTTCTCATCACTTATCTACCTTATAATGTCTTGATATTGTAAGAGAAATTCTGTCTTGGTCACTCATGGAAGTTATAGGGTTAAGCTAAATTGAGGATTTTTTAGGATGCACTTTTGTGAAACAACAACCAAACTTTTAAAAAATAGCCAGCCTTTAGTATCCTGGGCCCTCAGTGACAGCCCTGATTTACATATTTGAGATTTTTTTTTTGTTATTTTTTTTCTAGAAAAAACACTATCAGGTTATACACAAATATTTTGATAGAATCTAGATATACTTTAACAATAACATCCAAACTTTAATTTTTTCACAAATGTTGCTTTACACTATCTAGATGGAGATAACTCGTTGTAATTTTTTTTATTGAATATAACTTATGTGTGATTCACTTGTTTCCATAGCAGTGCAGACTGTGCTGAAGTCGCTTGATGATCCAAAAACAGCTGGACTTATCCTTGAAGAACAAGCAAATGCTTTGAAGAGTATTCTAGGAGATCCCTCTGTGTTGAAACTTGTCAGGGTGAATGTTGCATTTAGTTTTTGTTTGTGTTACATGTCTGCGTGTTATATATGGAGAAGAAGTGAAACATAACATAAATAAACCAAGAAGGTTTTTTTAAGTTTGGCTGTGTTTATGGCACAAAGGCTTGTTGACCAAGAAAATCAATGAAACAAATTATTCCAATTAACCCTTTAACTCCCATGAGTGACCAAGACAGAATTTCTCCTAACAATATCAATACAATATCAAGCAGACAAGTGATGAGAATAAAGGAAAATATCAATGTGAGAATAAGTTGATCCAATACTAAATTCTCTGAACTAACATTATAAGAACTGTATGGTTGACTGTAAAGAGAATTACAAATTTGATCTGGTAGTCAAATGGTTAAAACAGGGATTTAAATGCCAACTGGTAAGAGTTGAGTAATTTAACTTGCTTGCTTGATTCCCAAGACCTGACCTGTTCATTCCTTGCTTAAATAAAGTGGCTAGTATTACAAGTGTAATTTATTTTTGAGATCCATACACTGTTTATGTTTCTATAACATTGTTTTCATATCAAACTTTTTCTAGGCACATGACAAACTTGAAGAAGGTCGCAAGCAAGTTGAGACCCCAAACACAGCAGAGCTTGCAAGGGAGGTGAGTTTGGTATTTTGTACTGTTGAACATAATGATGTTAATGATATGCAAAGAAATTAATTTTGATACCTTTATTTACTTGAAGTTATAATTTAGTGATAATAAAGATTTTATGCCTCTCCTTTTTTTCTCTCTTGTATACTCTCAAAACCATACAATTTCATCTCCATTAACCAATCAGATCACAGGATTCAGAGGATTGCAGAGCGAGCCATGTAATTAATATGTTGACTGTTATTTCAGGTTACCACAGAACTTGAGCCACAAGTAGCAAATGATGATAGTGCAGCTGAGTTGTCTGGTCT